AGTGATTTTGTGTAGCTTGTCAGTGATCTACGGCTCTGTGTAGTAAATGCCGCTCCATCTGAAAGCACATGCTGGAGATTTACTACTAATCACCAGAAGCGGCTTTATTGTGAGTATTTGCAGCGTGTTTTAGTTTTGGCAGTGCATTTCTGTATTTTGCATGTTGTGAGTATTTGCAGCGTGTTTCAGTTTTGGCAGTGCATTTCTGTATTTTGTCATGTTGTGAGTATTTGCAGTGCATTACTGTATTTTGTCATGTGAGTATTTGCAGCGTGTTTCAGTTTTGGCAGTGCAATTCTGTATTTGGTTTGTTGTGAGTATTTGCAGCGCATTTCTTTTTGCGTTGTGAGTATTTGCAGTGCATTTCTGTATTTTTCTGTATTTGGTTGTGTTGTGAGTATTTGCAGCGTGTTTAAGTTTTGGCAGTGCATTTCTGTATTTTGTCATGTTGTGAGTATTTGCAGCACGTTTCTGTGTTTTGTCACGTTGTGAGTATTTGCAGCAGGTGTTGTCAAACTGATGATGATGTTTTCTTAATTTGCAGGTGTTTTTTTCTATTAGCATGTGTTTTTTCATTTGCAGCGCGCTGAGCCTCTCCCGGCCACAGTAGGTGTTGCTACGTCAGAGTTACGTTACCTTATGGAAAGATAAACTGTTGCTACTCTGAAACAAATAAGGTAAAGAACCTTATTATGCATCAAACAAATAAATGAGCTGTTATTTGTTATGAACTGCAATCAGCTATATAATCTCTAATGTAAATGAGAAAATCATATACTGATAATATACAATAGCCAAGGTCTCTGGAAGAGGTTTGAATAAATGATATTCACATTCTCTGTGGTCGAGTGAGCAGTCCGGTGGCGGTGACTTCATCCACTGGTTGTGCTGGTAACAATGCAGTGGGGAAAGGAACAGGAATCTGTTTTAGCAGCCTTGACCACAAAAAGCACTGTAGGATGCTGATCTTCTGGAGCACCAAAGGGTCCTAAAATCTGGTACACTCAGATAAAGCCCTGGAGTAGGTGCAGAAGGTCCTTAGCCTGGAACACGCAGACGAAAGTACCTTGAAGTGAAAGTGTGCTTGCCGGAGCTTAACCTTGTTGCAAATGTCTGGATGTCTTCTGCCTCTCTGGGCTAGAGACTCAGAAGTTGGTCAGTCTGCTTGGTCTCTCTAGGATGAAGACTCAGGACATGCTGCATCGGTTTTTGTCTCGCTGGATGAAGATTCTGAAGTCAGGGTAGCTTTTTCCTCAGAGTGGTTGTATCTGTTGCTGCCTCAAAAGCTGGAGACTGAGAACTTGGTATCTGTTATTGCATCTTCCCTCTCGGGCCAGAGGCTCAGAACATCAGTGTTCTGTTACTGTCTCTCTGGATGGGAGACTAAGAACGAGTGTATCTGTTAGTGTGCCGCATTGAGCATTGAGATTAAATCAAAAAAATCAAAAACATTTTTTATATATATATATATATAAGTCGTCTCTAGATTCAATGAGACCCTATTAGAAGGCCTGAGAGAGGTATGTTACCATTTAAATTATTTTAAATCATTAAGAAATGAATATACATTTTCTTTTTGAATTTATTCATTTAGGTCATTTTCACCCCTTTAATTACTTTAAGACCCTTATTTAGATTTTTCTAAAATATTTTTCTCTATTCAAAACTTAAACCAAAGCTCTTTCTCTGATATTTTGTTTGTTTAATCAACCGTGCATATTCAAAGTGTTCATGAAGTGAAGTGTTCACATCAGAAAATTGAGCAGAGAATCACTTTATTAGCTGTTTAACCAACTTTTTTTATGCGCTGTGTATATCTGATAGTTTTTCAGTAGCTTCATTCGCTGAGCCATACGTGTTCAACTGTACCAACCAAACCATGAACAAACAAACATTTTTTTTTAAAACACAGCAAACAAGCTGTAAACGCAATCCATTTTACAGTCGTACACAGAAATGACCGTTTGGAACATTGGTGTAAAAACATAGCCTCTGCGTGGCATTACATAACTCTATTCAGGGTGCGAACTACACAATGACCTTCAACAATATTTATTTTTAAATAAAGGAATCTTTATAGATACATTGTAGAGTGCAATATTAAAGAAACAATTTACCCAAATGAAAATTCTGTCATTTACTGACCCTGATGTCATTCGAAACTTGTACAACTTACTTTCTTCTGCAGAAAACAAAAGGTGAACTTTTTTAACAATATTCTGAGGGTGAAGTTAATTAAATAATAAACAGCTTTTTTACTTTTTTTGGATCAACTCCTCTTATTCTTCTTTAATATTCTAAGATCATCATGCAACCCCAATCATTTTTTGTTGAGCATATTAGACAACGGTTCACCATCTTAAAATCCGTTTAAAGGAATAAACTTTTTGACATTTGTGATATGTGCTATAATAAACTGATACTGACATGACGTTGTCAAAGTACAAACCACATTTGGACCTAATGGAAACCACTCGGGTAAAAGCAACCACAAGGTAAAACCCCAAACCCTTTGTTCTATCTCTAATTTGTGGGGTTTAAACCCCTGTAATTCGCACCCTATAGGTGTATCTGTGTTAGCTGAGGCTAAACGGTTGGCTTGCAAATGTAAGGATGTATGAAGATTCGTGAACATTCATATAAAAACATTATAGAGCCAACATAAGAGATGCATGAGGGAAATAATTTTTTGTTGAGCATATTAGACAACGGTTCACCATCTTAAAATCCGTTTAAAGGAAATAAACTTTTTGACATACATTTGTGATATGTGCTATAATAAACTGATACTGACATGACGTTGTCAAAGTACAAACCACATTTGGACCTAATGGAAACCACTCGGGTAAAAGCAACCACAAGGTAAAACCCCAAACCCTTTGTTCTGTCTCTAATTTGTGGGGTTTAAACCCCTGTAATTCGCACCCTATAGGTGTATCTGTGTTAGCTGAGGCTAAACGGTTGGCTTGCAAATGTAAGGATGTATGAAGATTCGTGAACATTCATATAAAAACATTATAGAGCCAACATAAGAGATGCATGAGGGAAATCAAATGTAGCAATTCATGTGCAATCAGCAACTACAACAACAACAAAAAGAAAGCGCATAAACATTAAAAACGTGTACAGACTCATTAGACCTTCTTTGCTTCTGTGTAAGAACTGCAGCAATGTTTTAATACTGACTCTTAAATGTTAACATATAATAGGAAATAAAAATGTTTTTATGTTGCTATGAACAGATTGCTAAAGAAGCTATTATAGAAAATGTTTGGTATCTCTAAACATCTAGCATTGCTTTGCTTTAAGTTCATTATTTATAAAAGAAAGGCATTCTGCATATCTGTGATCTTTTTTTTTTCATTAAACATGACAACATTCACGCAAACCTGTACCACACTTTTGAGGGGGGGGGGATAATTATTATAATTTTTTTTATAAAAGCAATTTCGAATATGTAATTCTGTAAAACATGAACCTCATGAAACTGACAGGGTATACTCCAAATGACACAGTATATCTCCAATATGTTTAATAAGCTATTATCTTTAAGTTAAAAGTGTGTTTTCTTAGGAAAGCTGTGCAATTGGAAACTAAATGTGGGAATAAAAAAAACGTTAAGTATTAAAGAGATGCTTTGAGCCCTTTAAATCCGTGAAAGTCGAGCAAACAGGTAATAGCAAAGCCCAAGAACATTGCCAATATTTTGTAAGATGTATGTCATTATAACTATGTGTTTGTATGGGTTTCAGTCACAGCTGAAGAAATCTTAAAAAAAGTTTGTGAGATACTTAAACATTCGATGTCCTATAAATTCAGCGCCAGTTCAAACTATTTACATAGTACAATGTGCATATCATTCATAGTTTCATTCAATAATGCTCTGTGTGTGTGTGTGTGTGTGTATGGTGGTAAAATCCCTTGCTTACTACAGACAGATTTTTGTTGTGTGGTCATGAGCGATGTTTCCACAGATGCACATATTTTGTCATGCATTCCACAGTCCCAGTCAGTGATGATAACAGTTTTGTCCTGATATTAGAAGTCTGTGAAGAGTGTTAACACTTAAACCGCAGAGAGCACAGCTAGTCTCCCTGCTGGAGTCTTCCACATAATGGGGCTGGGACCATAATGAATCAACCTTGCAATGTGAATATTTAGGGATACAGTGTGGGTGAATTCATATGAACAGTCAGGAAATTACCTGGTCATACTTCACCCCAAAACCAAAAGAAAGAAACAAGAAATTATATTAAGCATTAAGACCATGATGCTTGTTATATGCTATAATATATATTAAGCAAAATTAACCAAATTTAAATGATGCCCTTCACCAATACTTAGTACCCTGCAATGCAAAAAAGAAGTGCTACAATTAATTTTTTTTTAAAGAAATTGTTTATGCTCATCAAGGCTGCATTTATTTGATCAAAAATACAGTATAAACAGTAATATTTTTTATATTTTAAAAAACAGTTTTCTATTTTAATATACATTCAAATATAGTTTATTCCTGTTGTGGCAAAGCTGAATTTTCACCAGTTATTACTCCAGTCTTTAGTGTCACACGATGCTTCAGAAATCATTCTAACATGCGGATTTATTATCAGGGTTGGAAAAATGTGTCCTGCTGAATATTTTTTGTAATATAATATTTTTATTAATTTAACATATCCATGCTGAAAAAAAAAAACAATTCTTTCAATTACAAAAAAATCTAATAATGTACTGATCCCAAACTTTTGAAAAGTAGTATAAATTTGTTTTGTTTCCAACATTAACATTTAATATCCAACATTAATAATTCAGCATATTAGACTGATTTTTGAATGATCATGTGACACTGAAGAACAAAGCAATGGCTAATAAAATAAATATAACCATGAATTAATTATTTAATTGTGAATTAAATTATGTAAAAATGCCAAATTTGTAAAATGCATAATTTTCATTACAAAATATAAATGTATTTCTTTCTTCTTTTTTTTCCCTTCTTTTGATTTTTGGGGGAAATGAGACCCTGACATTTCTTCATGATGTTCACCCGTGTGTGCATGTGATCATTGTGTGTGTATGCGCTTGTGGCCTTCAGATGAAGGGCCAGTGCAGCCCCAGAGCGAGGATGATGATGATGAAGCTGGCCATGGAAAGAGAAGCATCTGACGAAGATGTATTCTGGATGATGGGCGAGTCGTGGAAGGAGACCGTCACTGCTTTTTTGGATACATCAGCTTTGGTGAGAGCTGAAAAAGAGAGAGACAATGAGAGAGAGCAACAACAGTACAGTAACATGTCTGACATGGTGTCTCATTGTTGAGGCAACAGTTCCTCATCAGGAAGTGAAATAGACAGCCAATCAGATATAAATCTGAGAAATGGAGTCCTTATTGCTGTGTGTGTGTGTGTGTGTGTGTGACAAGACTGTACTTTATATCACATTAAAAACCTCCGCTCCTCCCATTACCCAGAATTCCTCTGTGCTGCTCTGCTCTGTAATATCTCTTTTCTTTAGCCTGCAATCACCCTGTCCCTGTCTTCCATGCCCTTTACATTCATCTCTCTCTTTATCATTAATCTTTGTCTTTCTTTCCCTTGTTTTTACCCTTTTAAAGTCCCTGCAGCCCTGCGTTTCCTCTCTATAGAGCGGTTCAGTCATGATGGCAATTTGTAGGCCACGCCGGAGGCTAATACGCCACGGGTTCCCTCATGAATTTACTATGGGTTTTTAGAAAAGCGGTTACGATTTATGGGCAAACAAGCTCTGTGGCTACATTTACTTGAAGAAACTTTCACATTTTGTTCTCCAGCATAAATTAAACACAGTCAAACCTCAAAAGTGAATTTTGAAGTTGCTAAGTAACTTGAAGTCTTAACATGTGAGTGTTTTCACTTTAATCCTACTTAATCACATGACCACAGGAGGCTATCTAGGGTATCTTGGACCAAAAGAGGAGTTTCTGGCATCGCAAAATATAACTTGCTATTAAAAGCCCTCGCTATCCACACACCAAAGCGAATGAACGCTCCTGTCAAAGTTTCCACCCATTCGGCAGTGACATCCTAATGACTAATATCCCCGGCTCTCAGACAGTCTCACGACTCCTTAAGCATCGGATTCTGTAGCCTAATGCGTTTGTTGTCACGCAGAACAATGGACAATGAGCTGCCTATCCTTGGTGAGAATAAAGGTGATTGTTCTGGCGGAGGAGAAGGCCTTGCGTGTTTTGTGAGGTGTGGATGACACTGAAGGCTTGTCGAATCTAAAACAATAGAGAATGAGACTCTATGGTGCTTATGGCGTAAGACTTTCCATATACTCATAAGTGTGCACAGAAGAAATCTGCAGACTATTTTCACATTTTCTGCTCAGATTAAATGGGAAATTCTGCATATTGTAAACGTGGTAAAAAGAGTTAAACAAAACTAAGAGTACTACACTGTTATCAAAAGCTGTAAGCACATCGAATGAACCTCCAAAAAAGGGGGGCAAGGAATGCATAGATCCAAGACTAAAATGTTTAATTATCACCAATGAATATTTAAAATACCATTAATAATATTAAATAGGCTTAAACTTCAAATTATTGCCATTTAATAAAAATAAATAAATACAAATATTACCATTAAATAGGCTGTATTATAATAATATAATATAATATAATTATTTGTATTAAAAATATATTACAATAATTAAATTCAATACAAGATCACAAATAGCAATACAGACACTGCTAATCAATGGATTTTTTTTCTTTTCTGAGGTTAGAATGTTTAATTAAATAAAAAAATAAAATTTACAGCATTAAATAGTCTGTAATAAATAATATCATATAAATGTCAACTATTATTATTAAAATATATTACATTTAAATTCAATCTCATACCAAGATCCCCAGTATCAACACCAAAAGAGGTACTGCTAATAAATGGAAAGCTTTGTGATTTCTGAGGATACAGTGTTTCATAAGGACTATTAAATATCACAAATAAAATTATTAACATTAAACGTGAGCATTCGAACACACATGTAGATTTGTCTTATCTCTCACATTTCTTTCTCATCCTGCACCTCATCTAGTCTCATCTTCTTCCTCTCTAATGAGGAAATCATCCACGCCAGCAAACATATTTGTTTATTTTAAATATATTTTATGCGGACTTTGCCAGCTCTGAAATGAAGAACCCAAACAGTAACGCTCTATGTGTGGGATGGAAAACAACATTCATGCCAAAAACAGCCATGATCTCATTAGCAGCCACAGGACCAAGAACAAAATCAGCCTCTGTCACAATTCTCTTTCATGCTAATAAAGTTATCAGCTCGCAATCATCACCCTGGCATGCTCAAGAACAGCAATGATGTCTGAGAGCATAATTGCCATCACCCACAGTGATTATGGGCTGAATCATCTTCTCTGAAAATTCTCAAACATTCTCCAAGTAGACCTGTGTGCTCTCTAATAGTCAAGTTTAGCCTTCTCGTTCACAGAAGCTGTCAGGGATCGGTCTATCTGTGGGAAAGGTTGTTGTGTCGGTGTGCGTGTTTGTGAATGTTTGTCTCTGTCGAGGGTGTGTGAGAGAGAAAGAGGGTGTTGGGTAAGACTTGCCAATTAGTCACCAATTAACAGAAAACCCACACAAAATTGCAACAAAGACTTGAAGACAGAAGTTTAGATACATTTTAAGAGAGTATTTCATGAGATACTGTACCTACATGCATGTGGAAGAAGCTAGTTTGCCATATGAGCTACAGCAACAATCATACAGTAAAGCTGTTAAACTTCAGCCAGGATACTAAAAAAGTAGTTGCGAAATGCTTTATTAGTAGCTTGCAGTGTTGCTTGTATTGATACTTTTAAAATAAACGTATTTTACAAGTATCATGGCTGTAGTCTAACTACATTAAATGACGATAACGTTATTTAAGGGGACATGATATAAAATAAAATAAAAAAAAATTTTTTTTTTTCTGCCATTGACATTACTGGGAAAAATGTCACAATTAACCTTAATTCACCAATATATAAAATTAAATAAATATATAAACAAATATTAAAAAACATGCCAAACATAAACATAATAGCACACCTTTCTTAGAAAAAGAAAAGAAAAGAAAAGAAAGAAAAAAAGACAAAAACTAACCCAATTGTAATATTTGACACACTCCAATTTATAACAATGATAAAAAGCACTATTTTATTAAAAAGTCATTTGTTACAAACATAATGATTTAAAATACCACAAAAGGAAGGACGTCTAGAAACAATACTGAGTTTAATTAATCACTCAAATTAATTGGTGAATCAGGCTTCTGAATCGTTCCACTGAAATGAACAAGGGGTTCACAAAACCAAATCAGAGAGAATAATATATTTAAAGGGGTCATATGATGCGATTTCAAGTTTTCCTTTCTCTTTGGAGTGTTACAAGCTGTTCGTGAATAGATAAGATCCCTAAAGCTGCAAAGACTAAAGTCTCAAACCTAAAGAGATATTCTTTATAAAAGTTAAGACTCGTCCACGCCCTTCTAAAATGGCTTGTTCAAACACGCCCCCACATATCTACGTCACTATGTGGGAAGATTTGCATAACGCCACCCAAATGTTCACCCAAAGAAAGAAGGCGTAACTTTATTGTTGCTGCCACCGCCGCCGCCATGTCGTGAAGACGCTGTGTGTTTCGTTGTGAAAGCGAAACTACTTTGTTTGGTCTTCCAAAAGAGGACACGACTAGAAATCAGTGGTTAAGTTGTATTAACAACACTGTTCCAGAACAGTTCGACCCAAATATTCAGATGTGTCCAGCGCATTTTATGGAGTACTGTTTCCTGATCCTGGTAGAGTAGACGCCAATGCCGGCTGTTCTGGCTCACAGCCTGTAAGTAAGTTTTTTATATTTAAAGAATTTGCCACTGACTATTCAAACGCGAGTTTTGAGCAGTGTAGAGTAGTGCTTCTTGTTTGTCATTTCTCTGAACACAAACACAGAAATGGTTTTATGTTACGCTCCGACCGGACACGGCATCACAGTATGGTAAGGGGCATAACATTTCCATCACACATTTGAGGTATTCGGCCAATCACAATGCACTGGATAGCTGGCCAATCAGAGCACACCTCGCTTTTCAGACCGATGAGCTTTGTAAAAATCTACGTGTTTCAGAAAGGCAGGGCATAGAGGAGAAACAATAATGTACAGTATGTGGAAAATAATGTGTTTTTTGAACCTTAAACCACAAACACATTTCATTACACCAAATACACAAAATAATGTTCTTTTTAGCAACATCATATGACCCCTTTAAGACAGATGCAGTATTATTTGTGTACATTTAAGGCAGAAAGAGAACATGTGTATATACACTTGCCTTCAATAAATACAACTTTTAGTGGTGCACCAGTTCTCTGGATTGCTGTTTATCGCTGTTAATCCCACTGCACGTGTTGGACCCCGAAAATAAACACTTGTTTATCTTACAGAGCTCATAACTAGGGCACTAAAATAGCTGCACTATTTACAATTGGACCGAAATAGACCCAGACTGTCTGAACAACCTGTGCAAAACAGACAGAAAAGCAAAACTACAAATCTCTGGAGAGAGTGTCACATCGTCTGGTTTGCTTAAGTGGAAAAGCTCTCAAAGCCGACTCTAAAAGCTACAAAACACCACAAAAATCAAAACACCTGCCAGCTCTCTTTAAAAGCATTTGCACTCCGCAGCAACCAAACCAGCATTCAAGCCGCCCGCTATGTTTTTTTCCTTCCATCATTTCATCCTTGGGTTTATTCCACCTATCAGTCTACCCTTTGGTTTATTTCTTCCATCAGTCTCTCTCTGGGTGACTTGCAAGTCCCACTGGTCACACAACCTGGCTTCACTTATGAAACTCAGTAGGAACGAATGTATTCAGATACTATCATTTGCCATGTAACCAAAACTGCATGTGCTGCAGACTTTGCTACTTAAGCCACATTGGGAGGTGCTCATTTGCAAAGACTAAAAAAAAACTATTTTCTAAAAAGAAAGAAACGGACAAGAAAGGAAAGCTTTCGAATGCATTCATCGAAACTTGTTGGTTCCAAGCACTGGGTATTTAAAGCTATAGACTGATTCAGATTCATGGATTACGGAGGTCACTGTTTTTAGATTTAGACTCCTCGTCTGTGTGACTTGCAGCCTCGCTGATTGTGAGATGATTCAGCATTATGGTGTTGTGTTAGGAAAGATGGACTGAGAGAAAGA